ACAGCAATGTTATTTCACACTCTTGAACCTCTACTTCCTATTTGAATCAATTTAATCTTATCTTTCGTTAGATATCCTATGATTGAAAAAGTCTGTTGATTGCATACTGTGGCATCAAAATTATTTTACTGCTCAAAAAATCTAGTTTTTTTTACAATTTACATAACACACGTTTTTTTTACTGTTATTTATAATCTCAAATTTAGGAATAAAAAAATACCTGTCAGTCTGCTATGATTTCGATAAAGAATAGTTTTTTTTTTTTTAGTTTGTAGATATAATTCTTGTCTGATACACTGCTGCTTCAGAGCCAATTGTGTGCATAATTTTTGTCATTTTAACACCGTCAAGAATTTAGTGCTACAATTGTTAATAGATTTTATAAAATAGCAAACGATTTTTTTCTTGTTCGGAAGAAAAAAATTCTATCTGGATGTATAGTGGAGGTGAAAAGATCAAAAAATGATGGTCTGATAACAAGCAGTACTTTTCATTTTCTGTTTGAAATTACATATGTTTGTGGGTTCCTCTTAGATATTCCGTGTCAGTTTTGTTGTTTGTAAAAGAAAATTTTAAAAAAGCATCTTTTGAATTTTTCGAACGTATGCTGAATTAAGAAAGCAAAACCAAAAAGGAAAATAAGTTTAAATCAAATTTGAATCAAATTAAATTTCAAATCAATTAAATTTCAAATTCAAATGAATTTAAACTTGTCTCTCTCTCTATCTCTTCTTTTTTTTTCTGTTGTTGTTGTTATTACAGGTTTCTTTTAAAGTTTAGTAAAAGTAAAAAGAAAAGATTCTAAATGTGCAAAAACAGTTTCATTTTTCTTTATAGTTTAAATGTATTAAGAAAACTTTGTAGATCACTGTAAAGAAGTGTATAACTTTTCCTTAGTGCATTTCACTATTTAACCAGCCAGTCGGCTAGTCTAGCCTAGCATTTAATTCTTCTTTACTATTGGTCAACTTTTACTATTTTTTGTATCGACCTCTCTAATCGACCAGTTTTCCGTTCTTTTTTTCCTAAAAAAATTCCAAAAACCAAAAAAGTGTATTTTCGGTACTGAAACACTGTCATCGCTCCGAGAAGCGGGGAGAGTTACGGGAAGATGGCGATCAAAAAATTTTTCTGCACCGACAATTTAAATAATATAGGATTTTGGAGGACAAAAGTGGTTTCTCTGCTATTAGTTCAGTTGCGTTTCAGCTAACTATGAAATTTGCTTTATTTCATTTGCCTCCTTTTTTTAACCACTTTTTCTTTACAACATCTTTCTTTTTTTTTCTAATATATCAGTTTTGACAATAGAACGACATTAAGTTTGGTAAATTTTGTCTTTTTACTTTTGTTTTAGCAAAATATTGAATGCTGTAAAAAAAACAATAGGACATTATTCAATAATATTTTTTTACGGTTTTCTATTTTTATTTTCATTTTTTGCAAACGAAAATTTGTTTCTTTTTTGTTTGTCTTTTTTTGTGTAAAAATTTCTTGTACTTTTTGCAGCGCCTTCGATAATTGTCTCAGACACTTTATCGCACTTTATCCGTTGCAAACACATTTCTATGATGCAGCAATTGTTCTTGGTAAGTTTTTTTAGAAATTAACAAGTTTTAACAATTTTTGTAACTTTCAATGTTACTGCTTTGCTGTGTTTCGACACATAAGACTGATGCTTACATTTGACGACGCTGTTATTCCACAGCAAAACATTATAAATGTTTGGAACAAAAGTTGTGAATTTTAGAAAAAAAAAGTATTTGTACAACTGTGATTGATAACTACCAAATTCTAAATTTCACTTCTTCTTTTCTTTTTTTCTATGAATTTTAAAACTTTTTATTAATGTGCTTCATACGAGGAGGAATATTTTTTCAATATTAACCTTTGTTACTGGTTGGAATGTACAACAAATTTTAATAATTTCCAAAAACAAACACAGTTTCAGTTTTTTTCTTTTTTGTCTGAATACTCAAAGTGATTTTACTGTGTTTATACTCTTATTTCTTATGTTGTATCTTTTTTTTTAATTTTAAATCTGTAATTTGCTCTAAATTATCTTCATCTCTTCTTTTCCAGCTCTGTCTCTGGTTGGTGGCTATCGAAGCATTGTCACATAAACATGAAAAATGCGGACCGAATTCCCACTTTGTCAGATGCGGATCTCCGTGTCATAAAAAATGCAACAAAAGAGATAAGATAACTTGTCCAAAAATTTGCTTCCGAGGATGCATCTGTGATCAGGGTTATATCCTAGATGATCAAGAAAAATGTATTAAACCCGAGGAGTGTCCAGGTATTTTCCAAGTTTATTGTTTTTTTTCTTAAGTTTCCGTTATCGTTTTACTGTTGGCAATCTTTTTAATTCATCGACTTTTTTTTTGTATTATGTTAACTGGTAATTTTTTGCCAAGTTTTTTTGCAAATTAAAAAAATAAAGATCTGAACAGTTTTGCTCATGCAAAGCTGGGATTAATGCTCAAATTTAAATAATTAATAATAGACCTTCTTTCATACAGATAAAATCAACTAAATTTTTTCCACAGTGGTTTGCTCGTTCAGTTGTTAAGAGTAAACTGACAAGAATTTTTGATGTCTGTTTCTTTCTTCCTCAAATTTAGCACTTTTTATCATCACTTTTTTTCAGCTCCCCGATTAGCCCGAGCAGCACAGGGCAAAAAGTGCAACCGTAATGAACATTATACGACTTGCGGTACAGCATGCGAACCAACTTGCGGCAAACCATTAGCAGACATGTGCACGTTGCAGTGCGTTCCAGATGTCTGCCAGTGTAATCCCGGATTTTT